CTAAAATGTAGTCATTTCTGTCAACACACAGCCTTCAGAAATGTTCTGCAATAGTCCATTTATGTGTTACTATAGTCCAAAAGATAAAAGTCATTCATATTTCTGTTAACATTAGATATAACTTAGAAGTATTCCAAGTCCTAGGAGCTATATTTCTGTAAAAAAGGAAAAATACTGATGAGGTCATGAAGTTCAATTTCTAATATCTTGGGCAGCTTTATTCTCTGACTCTTGGTCTGTGTTTTTCGATTCTTTCTTGCTCCAATGAGGCACATGAAGATTCACATAGACTCAAGGAACCAATATTCACTAGAAAAAACACAAACCCCATTCAGAATAGATTTAGGTCTTCATGCTGCCTTATAGGCCCATTTAGATCTTAGCTTAGTCTATTGACCCTGGCCAAATCTCTAGAGATGGCTCAAGAAAAAAGGAAATGATACAAAATACCTAGTATAAATTGCTGAAGTAGAATTTTCCTGTCCCGATGATTTAATTTTCAGGAAAACAAGATAGTTTCAGCCTGAAAAAATATTTTTTAAATTAGAGAAAGCAGACAAAATTCCTACGTGTACTTTTACTATCTATTCACCTGATTTTTTTAAAAAAAATCAGTTTGATTTGTTTTACTCTCTTGCACACTTAAAGAAACTCAATTGGGGCTCTTTTTATCTAAAAATCCTCTAAAAGCCACAAGAAAGCAAGAAAAAGTTTTGCCTATTTATTGCAATTTGCTTTCCTATTGGCTATAATAACATAACTAATTTTTGCAGACAGTGATCTCTATATGAAATATTTAAGTACAGGTGGTCTTTGACTTACAACCACAACTAAGCCCAAAATCTGTTGCTTAGACAGTTGTTAAGTGAGTTTTGTCCCATCTTACGACCTTTCCTGCCACAGTTAAGTGAAACATTGCCGTTATTAAGTTAATAACATGGTTGTAAAGTGAATATGGCTCCTCCATTGAAAGGTGCATTACTTGATCCCGGGGCACTATGACCATCATAAATATGAATCACTTGCCCATATGAAGGTTGATAACATGACCATGGGGATGCTGCAATAATACGTGTGGAAAATGGTTGTCACTTTTTTCATTGCTATTGTAACTTTAAACAGTTACTAAATGAAAGGTTATAAGTCGACAACTTCCCATAAAAGATTATGAACATTCAGAACTGAAATTGCATTATATTTATGTGTGTTTCTTTGTGTGCTTTCAGATGCACAGTACATCACCTGTAGGATGCAAAACTGCTCTGAAGCTGTAAGAAGCAAGCCTTTTCCTGGATACATTGATTCCGATTCTCTCATTGTCCAAGATGATTATGTATTTGTTCAGGTCTGAAACAGTTTTTTCCCCCTTCTATTGATTGAAAATCATTTTTTTCTTTTATTTTTCAAAGTTAAACTCCCTTCCCTAACAGATGCAACAAAATAGCTCAAGAACAAGCTAATTCACGGCATTACCAAAGTTGTTATTCCCATTGGGTTGCTAATTGTTTCCTTCTGCCTTTGGTTCAAGTATTTTGTTAACACAAGGGTCATGAGGGGTAAGGTCTGACATATGTTCAAGATGTATGGAAATAATCTCTCTTGTCAGTCAGCTCTCCACATTGTCTATTCCAAAAATGTTCTCCCATTTCAACAGCTTTTTAAGTTTGCATGCCAGAGCTCCAATATCACCATTACAACAGACCAATCAAGGTTTTCCTTTTTATTAGTTTGAAATGGGGCAAGATAGAGTCTCTCTTTAGAGATAGAATGGAGATGTAGAAAGGATACGGAAAGGGAATGCTTGAGAGAAGACTAATCAGGCATGATTGTCATGCGTGGGCTCCTATTATTGCAAAAAAAGAAGAAAATGAGATATATTCAGCTGAGCTATATTCCAGGTGGAAGCCAGAGAATATATCTGAATAGTTTTAAGTTTCATTATCTTCCTGCTGCTATCCCCATCATAACAAGAAGGAGGAAATAAAGTGGAAATGAGCTATAAATTATCTGTCTTTCAAGTATTTCTTGAGGCTGAGGTTCCTGGCTTGCATCAGCATATACATTTGAAGCTGGATTGTCTATAACCAGGAGTTTTTAAGTGGGCTGAAGATAGAAGATCCTGAATGTGTTACCAAATGCTGTCAGCTGTACCACTCTAGCCTCTAAGTTCTCTGAGTATATCATTTCCTTCCAAATAGAATGTATATCAACTCTTCTGAGGGTTAGAACAATACATTGCCTCATTTATTTTCTTTGTAGAACAAGTGTGGTAAATTCTCCTACCATGGAAAATATGGGAGAAATGCTTTATTTGTGATTTCATTCATTGTTTCACATATCCATGATTAATAATGGACCAGGCCTTAGTGTACACATAACAGGTTTTACGTATTCATGGTTCTGACTTCTAATTTTTTTGTTTATCCATGTGTAAAAGAGACATGCTTTTGAACATGCATAGTATATTTTTTTAAGGGATAAGATTAAGTCACCTACTTGTGTATTTGTTCCCACTTATCATTCATTATAGCAGAAAGCTGCATGTGGCTTCTTCATTCTTGTCCTGTAGAAACATCCTGATCAAATGGTGATAATCATCTGTCTCATGCAGTGTGGTTCCTTTGCTTGCACAGCTCTTTCACAACCTTGGTGGAAGGGTCTGTATACTAGTGCTAATCTCCAACTGCTTGTGTCCTTCCCCAATTGCTATGAACACTCTGTTGGCAATACTGGCACCCAGCAGCATGATTGAGAAATGCCCCCAATGAGATTACAAAAGAACTGCAGGGAGAAGCTGGCATGAGTAATGTGAAGCAGACAAGGTGATCCTCTACATCACCAGTTGAAGAAATCATTCTGAGGAAGAAAATCAATTACCAGGAGGAAGCCATGTGGAACCTCACAGCTGGACAAACCCAGAAAGATTAAGGAAGCAAAGAAAAAGAGACATGAATAGAAGTACAGTTGATTGCTTTGCAAGAAAGAAGGAAGACATAAATCACTATAGGTTCTAAAAACTAAACCCTGATTAAATTGTATAAAGGAAAATCCGTAAGTGAAGAGAAGCTGTTACAACTTCTACATGGTACAAAGTTAAATTCTGCCAATTTGAACGCATACTGTATTAGCTATTTATCTCCAAGTCCCCAAATTTGTCAGAACCGTAAACCAAAATGTACAGGTCACTGCAAATGATCTGTTGAAAAAGCTAATTCACACTGGAATAGATTCACAATAAAGTTATTTATGCAACAATAATCAATATGGCAGGATTCTCAGAAGACTTTTCTCCTCGATCCAAAATTATCATCTAAAATATGCAAACAAAAACATGCTAATAAGCCTGAAATGTTTTTGGAAGAAAGTGCTTTGGACTGTTCAAACAAAAATTGACATATTCGGCTATAAACACATAGATAAATTGTGGGAAAAAGGTGAAAATATGTTGGAACCATTAAGCATAATGGTTGCATTATTATTTGAAATTGTGTGATAGTAGTAACATAGGCAATAATATATATGAAAGGAAGAATGAATTCAACTATGTGTTTTCATATCCAGAGCCAATGTCCCACAGTCAGTGAAGAAATTGAAATGGTTGGACATTTCAGTAAGACAGCAAAATCAGCTATAGGTAACAAAAACCTAGATTTTGGTATGCCCTTCAGAGCTTCCCAGTTTCAGTATATCTGAAGTCAGGAAAATCTCAAACATGCAATATTTGCAAGGAGGTATAGAATATTTATGAACTATAAGAGGCTGAAAGAGCCAGTTTGATGCAGTGGTTAAGCCAATAGGTTAGGAATCAGGAGACCGTGAGCTCTAATATTTCCTTAGGCACAAAACCAGCTGGGTGACCCCGGGCCAGCTCCTTTCTCTCAGCTCTAGGAAGAAGCAATGGCAACCACTTCCAAAATCTTGCAGGGACATGTCCAGACAGTCACCAGTCAACATTGACTGGAAGGAAGGAAGGAAGGAAGGAAGGAAGGAAGGAAGGAAGGAAGGAAGGAAGGAAGGAAGGAAGGGGACAGACATGGAGGAGAATCTAAACTTCTGCACTTTCATTGTTTTCTTATTTTAAGCTTGTAAGCAACAGCACAAAAATAATACATACCTATTCAAGATATTGTTTATAGCTGTCTGGCATAGGGGTTAAGTCAGCCTCTGTTCACTTAAAGATGCACTGGAATGTGGAATTTGACCAGAAGTGCTAAACCTTTCCAAGCTTGTGCTATTTCTGCATGTGTATCTTGCTACTCCAGGAATTTAGAGAAAATATTTTTAGAGCAGAATTGTGCATTAACTTAGCTCTTAATTACATTCTTAACGTATTTTAACATACATATTTTTAAAAAGATAATATGCTTTATTTAAGAAAGCTAATACAAATGAAACAAACTTCTAGAATTGTATTTCATGTTCTGTAAGATTATTATCTGCCCTGTTTGTTTATGAATTGTTAAAGATATTTGTTTTTGTTTTGTCATTCAGTGTGACTAGAAAAGATTGATTTTTGTTTTGGTCCCCAGGATTTTGGAAAGGGCAGGGGACTCTCGTGGGTTATTGCCTGAAGATTATTTCATTTCTGTGACTTGCTGGAAGAAGTGGTTGGCTGTAGCATGTGTAAATATTACACAAATGGAATACTCTATATGGAGGACTTTGGTGTACTTTCTAGAACTCATTAAAATCTTAGGGCCCTTGGCTTGGGTTGGGAGAAAAAGTTTTTTTTCCAAAGCCGATTAGAGCAGAAAAGCTTTTCTCATTGTTCAAATTGGAAATATAACATGTAACATATAACAATACAACATTATTGACTTGAGTACAGTATTGCAATTTTTGCCTCTGCAATTTAAGAGGCTGAATGCTGCTTCTGGAACCTGCATTTGTAGATTTCCCTTGCTCTTTTTGTCTCCCTTTGCAATCTGCATAGATTATACTTATTAATGCTGTCTTTTTCCATATCTGAATGAGGGCTATTTCATCTCCTGCTGTATCTTCATTGCCATTTTGGAACCATTGTAACATAACTGCATTTCCCTTTATAACGCACCTGTTATTTTCTACATGTCTTTTTAAAAAAGGGAGAAAACAGTGATAATATAACACCTCGATTAAAATAATAAGAAAAAGTAATGTTATATGTTGCAGCTGACATCTGGAGGTCGGCCACATTACTACGTGTCTTACCGCAGAAATACTTTTGCACAGATGAAACTTCCTAAATATGCTTTGCCAAAGGTAAGGTTATCATGGTTCCAATATTCCTAAATAATATTAGATGACAGACCAGAGAAATTGCAGCTTGTGGCCAGTTTGTTCAGAATTGTTTTAAATTAGTGCATGTATCCCTTTATTTTTCAAGAACATGTTGAAGCAGCAAGCAAAATACTCTCTAAGATCAATATTGCAGCTGTTCAAGGGCATCAGTTCAAAATGCAGATTGATTTTTTTCAGTTGGTGGAAATTACTAATTAGTATTTCATTTTCATCAATAATGACATTTTGAGGTTTTCTATTAAAAAGTTTGGCCTTCCGATGTGCTGCTAGCTTCCATATTTTATTGTGTTAAAGGAATTAAATGAGATTTTTTTCTTTAGAAAGTATGCTTTTGTATGCCTCTAATTTTTTAAAAATAGAAAATTAGCAATGCCGCCCAAAAGAACATGTATTACATAGCCTTTTAAAGAATCTTAGTAAGATATATCAATCAAGGGGAAGCTTATTTCATTTAAAAATTAAAAAAAATCTATGCTGCTTTTTATATAAAAGGAAAAAAATCTCAAAGCTTTTCTTTTTCAAAAACTTGAAGGACAGAAAAAATGATTGTTAAGGACTTTTGTTCCCAATACAAAATATTTTGATGCATTGTAACATGATCTGAGAACATAGTTTATGAAATTGCTTGTCAGATTCAAGGTCTGGATTTTTTGACGTGCTGTGACTTAGGTCCATATTACAGGAAATTAAATGTCCAGTCATAATGAGATCAATGTTCTCGACTGCAACCATTAGGAATATAGGTTTTTAAACTTTCATCCTTCCACTAGATCCTTTTTCTCCCTTCTTAATTGGATTTTAAAAGTTATGATTATAAACATTTAAGAATATTTGAACTGTGAGGTTTCCAAAATTAATCACATTTAATTCTGGATTCTGGAATAGGCTGAATTCTTAGATAGGTCAAATGACATGGAAGGATTTATTTTCTTGAATCACATCGTCGAGACAAGTTTTTATTTGTAAGAGATGTTTAAAAAGTCATCAAAGCCTTTTGTAGCCAAATATTGTAATGAATGTACTAAAGGCCATTTGGAAATGCCACAGTGGAGCTTATGCAGACTATTTTGAATAAGACTATTTATAGTGAGAGTTAATTTTTCCAAACTGCTTAATCACCATCTATCTGCCATTTCAGTTTTCTGTGAAAAATTCAGTAAGTGATTGAATTATCGAGTTGAAACCCGTAATACCTAATTACAATGCGAGGATACTTTTTTTTTGTCAGTTTTGGGCTTCTTGAGTTGCCTTGCCATTAAAAACATATGAATTGCTTTAAAACTAGGCCTTTTTTGTGTATATTAGTAAAACCATAATCTCAACAAAATTATAATCCTAGACCACAATGCCATAATCCCAATTTGTAAAATCATAATCCAGTAGTCCCAATTTTATTGGATTTTGTTAATAGGTGTTTCAGCAATAGCAATCATTCATCAGTTTGTCATTTTCAATTTTCTCTAATTTAGGGGATTTTATTTTCATGTTGTTTTAAGACAATGGTTCTGGTATCTGGTCAACATTCTCTGAAGAAATATATTATAATTAAATACCTACGTGTGTGTGTGTGTGTGTGTGTGTGTGTGTGTGTGCATGCATGTGCACACATGGTCTCCTTTTTTTGGGAGCAATTGAGTGTTTATCCATTGTCTGTAACAAGAATTACCATCTGAGCCTAACATTTTGAGTTGACAGAGAATGACTGGCCCAAAGTCACCAAGAAGGCTTTCTAGCTAACTGGCTGTCTCCGCTAGACCAAACTGCCTATCAGTCTATCATAAATGAGCTATCACTCATATTTATCTAGTGTAGTATTCTTAACATATTGTGATATGATCAGACAAGTTCCATATCAGATCCATTTTTAGCAGATTATTTTCGGACAGTCACTCACATTCAGCCAATCAATCTCACCGGACTGCTGTTAGAATAAAATAAAAAATAATCATATATAAACCAATTTTTGTTCAGAGAAAAGGCAAGGTATTTAATACATATATATTTTCTATTTAATAACACAGACACACCAAAACATACTTTTCTGTAAGTAATTTCTATGAATATAATGAACACATTTCAACAAACAAATTTTTGTGCAAATTTAAAACTCCTGAAAGATGAATTCTATGGGTTTCCATTCCATAATATATACAGTAATCGCATGGCAGAGATCATTTTCAAGTCTTTCAAAAGTCCATTTTCATACCAATTTATGGCATACGTCTTTTACATCTCTATTTAAAAGTAGTCTCCCTGCACTACTATTCCAAGAAAGACAATAATATGCAAGGCTACAGTATCTACAGAGCAGCTACACAACTCACTAGTTTTGGTTCTCTAAGTGGCACTTTCTAGAATAATAGAGACATCATGGAATGTCTTATCTAGCAGTAGGTTATTTTGTTTTAATATAATATTGTACAACTCATAACCCATGGGGTCATTCTTTCCACATATAATATAAACTTGTGCCATTTCCCTTCTCCTATGAGCCTCAGTAGATCCCCAGTGAAGCCGTTTCTGCTGACTCCTCCTTTTACTCCTTGGACACTCAATTGCAAATTCTTCATAAACCCTTTTTCTTAATACAAAGATAAATAATTTTGAGCTTTTTAATTTGATGCATGTTACTTTATCTAATTGGGTTGTGTCGATTTGCTGGGGAGGCTTTAAAAATGTTGATCTTCTTGAAAAGGCTGTTGCTTAGAGTATCTGGAATTTAAATTTGCAAAGAATAAAGAAAGTAAAAGGTACCAAAAGGAAGAGCAAAACATTCCCCATGTGACATAGACAAGATGGAATAATTTTATGCCTCCTTATGCTGGTCCATAATAACTTAAAATATCTTTTTTCCCTCTTTGTGGATGAGCATTTATTAGCTAATATAATTCATTATAGAAGTAATTTGAATTAAATATTTCTCAACCAACTTTTTCTGAAGTAGGATACTGCTTTCCCTAACGAGCCCCAAGAGTCCCTCTCTGTCACCTTGTTCAAGGAGCAGATGATGTTAAATCCACCTGCAGGGTAATATTTAAGGCAACAAGGTGCTTCATTACAAGCTCACACAACTTCAAAGGATAAGCAGCTAAATCTGTATGCGCAGAGATACAGTGAGAAAAGCGTGTTTAGGATGCTATTATCAAAGCAGGTGGCTGCCTTTATTAAAAATGAACAAAGCACAACACAGTAAAAAGGAAATGAAACAAGCACGGCCTTTTATGGGTAGAGAGTCTTTAATCTCTTTCAGCTCAATTACTTTCTCCAAATAAAATCAATGTTGTAAAGGGTTCTTAGCACCATAGCAGCTTATGGGATTTTAGTATAGAATTTTAGTACTGAGACAAAGTAACTTTATCACTGGATTCCTTGCCTTGATGTTTCCACTGGTTTAAGTAAAAGGAAATAGTAAAATATGATGCCTTTCATGTGGCCATAATGAAATAATTATTCTAGGCATCAGGCAGCAGCATTTGAAAATGCCGATTTGCAAATCTTATCAAGATTATCATGCATAATAGCTCCTGTCAATGGATGTTGGGTATTATCATTCATTTAGTCTATGCACATTTGGATTAAGAATGATAAGCATAAAAAGAGGTCTATTTGGTATCAGGTACATTGGCATTTAGGCATGCCTATCAGTCTCAAACCATAAAAAACATCAAGAAATCTAGCATCTGGATACATTTAGTTCAGGTCTTGCTACTGTACAAATAATAAAGTTGTACAGACATAATTCAACAGAAAGATTCAAAGAAAGAATTAAAGGGAAATAATTCTAACAGAGCTGAAGACTATCTCAGGGATTAAATACTCATTTGTGTGTAATTTTTGCCAGCATTTGCTGACAAAAGTAGTTATAATTTATATTAATACATCAGCTAACGCTATCTGACATATATTTTCTATTGAACATGTTTGATAGATGCAAAATGTTTAATTACTAACACTGGATGTTTTAAGTTTCTGAGATAAAACTTTTTATAAATATTTGGATTCTGATTCACTGTATTTAGTTTGAAAATTGCACTGAGAAAACAAATATTGGTTATTATCACAATATTTGGGACTATGTCAAATTTACTCCTATCAACTAACCTAGTTTAGAAGCGTCCTTCTACCACTAAATATCTATTGCTAATTAAGTAAACTTCTGGAACAAATTTATTTATTGCAACATTGCTAGCCATCTTTTTTCCCAAGTCTATTTGGGTTGATACATTTAATCAGAAAGACTAATAATCCCCAGGCTTTGCTTATACAATCAGTCATGGCTTGGTTTTATTTTTCCATGGCTTATTGATTAGCCCATGATTCAGTGCAAGCCATACTGCAAATTTCATAAGCAGATTAAGTATGTTTTGTGAAGCAGCCATTTTCCACGGAAACATAACTAATTTCTGCAAGTAAAAATAAATAATGACTGTCTGATAGCCTGTACATCAAGATGTTTGTCTTTTGATAACATCAATAAAATATTATGTTTTAATTGACCTTTTAAAAAAAAAATGATGTTAGACTGCTTATACAATAATATTCCAAATTAGTTTTATATAGTAATTTAGTGACAGTAAAGGATAAGGAAGTAGATTAGTATGTAGAGGGAGGGAGGGGGAAAGGGAGGGAGGGAGACAGAGGGAGGGAGACAGAAAGAACAAGGTATATTTTCTGTATTTATGGAAAGAATCAGTGTTTTTCGTTTATTTTTAATCAAATTATCAGGACAACAGAAACTAGTATCCTAGGGAAGAAAAGTGAAAAAGGAGAATTTTTTCTCTGAAGAATAAACTCTCAAAAATAACCAACAGTTTCAACAGCTAAATTAATTGTATCCTAGATTTTCAAAAAGTTTACATTCCTCTGAGCAAAGGGGAATTTGCAATTTCATGGTGATTCAGAAAGCACTAGACTTTAGTTCTTTTCATATACCCAATTCAAATGATGCACATAATATTGTGCTTTGTTTCTCTGTAGGAAAGTACAAAGGTCAGATAAATGTGCTGCATGTTAATGTGAACTGTCCTTCAGTGTTGAGGGTGGGATATTTTCAGGGCCAGCGATGCCACATTTTTCCAGGCAGACTTAAAACAAAGCCACCATGGTTGTTGTCAGGATGGAGGCTGGGGGATACACCAATTAGACTTGAACCTGCTTCTTCTTCCTTTCTTTTTGCCTTTTATCTCCCTCTCCCAGCCTTCTCTTCTACTTAACTCCTCTATGTCAGTGGGAAACATGTTTCATGGCATGATTTGCCCAGCAGAAACAACAGACAAATTGCTGAATCTGACAGAAAGAACAAGGGCGTTATTATGTAGTGCACTTGAGTAGCAGTTGTTGTCCATGTCAAGTTTGCTGACAATTCTTTAGCCTAGTAAAATATAGACTGAAAAAAAAGAAGAAGAATGGTGGAAAGAGTGGCAGATAAACAATGTACATTCACAGCCACCAGGAATGCTAAGTACTGCTTCTCAAGACTGCTTGAATATGCCAAAAGTGAGAGAAAGAACTTAGTTATCTGTACAGTAGAACCACCAAACTCTGCAACGGTGACACTGTTTTCTCCTTGCTTTTTCACTATCTTCAAATTGAGAATATAAGATCTTAACAGAGTTGGAACCAATTATAATACTGTTTAATCCAATTCGGATTATAGGAGCTCAACCTCACATCCTGCTAACCACTACACAAAGATGTCCCGCTAACTGTATTTAAAGGACAGATCCTTGTGATATTCTTTGTCTTTTCCCCAGCCTACCGCAGAGGCAGTTTGAATATATCGTTAGTTGTTTTGTCAATAGATGTCTTTCATCTTTTGCTGCGGTTGTTGTGCTAACAATTTAGAACTTGGCCTTAGTCTTAGAATAACTTTATTGTCACTTTAAATGTACATTAATCAGCATACATTAAAATGAAATTTCATTGCATACAGCTCTCAAAGAGGCATCATCTCCAATATATACTATATAAATATAATATTTATATAGTTATAGTTATTTATATAGTTTATATAAATATGATAAAAATATAAATAAATAAATAAATAAATAAATAAATATGCATATACCCACATATATTATATGACTCAGAGAAACAACACAGTCTAGTTCAAATGTATAAATGTACATGGTGAGAAAAACGAATGTTGTGAGTTTACCAGATGGATGGCATAGGGAACAGAGCTGTTACAGAATCAGGTAGTCCTGCTAGAAATACTTTGGAACCTCCTCCCAGAGAGGAGTAACAGAAACAGACCATAAAGTGGGTGTGGGGGTCTTTAACAATGCTTTGAGCTATAAGCAGTAATCCTGAATAACGGGAAGCAAGCTTCCTATAATCTTCTCGGCTGTTCTTACCACTCTTTGTATGTGTTGTGGCTCCGTTACCGGAGCCTGTGTCATCATCAGGTGAGGACTCCGAGAGTGAAGGGGAGGAGTTGGCAAGGCCTCCCTCTCCAGGACCCTTCTCTCTGGCAATGCCTTTGGTGTCCGCCGAAGGGCAAGAGATAGGGCCAGGGCCAAGCACGTCCACGCAGCCACAGATGGACAGTGATGAGGGTAATGAGTCTTGGCTAGACCCACACCAGCGTCGCAGAGATAAGTGTGCGCAACAGAAGAAAGGGCGTGCCCAAGATTAGGCTGAGTCACTGGACCAAACCCCACAGGATATAAAAGGGAGCGTGGTGGCCAGTCAAACCTTGTGGCGAACAAAGCTGAAAGCTTCCATGCCATTCTGCATTGCCGGACTTTTGCTTTAAGACTGGATTATCTCTGGACTTGATTGTAATTATTGAGCTGTTTTCCTTTGATGTATCAGAAGTGGGGAGAAGTTATCTCTCCTCTTTGTAAATAATAAATTCTTGGCAGGCAGCCACTAAGTTGTTGCCAAGTTCCGTTATCATAAGGAAAAGGATTTTGCCGGCTGGTTTGGTCTTTAACTCCTGAACGTCTGTTGGTGTGTGTGCGTGGGGTTGGGGAACAGAACAGTATGGACTTTCTATCTAAGGCACTGCTACCACCAAACCAAACAGTGATGCAGTTTATTAAAACACTCACAATCATGCCTCTGTAAAAAATTTATAGTGCCTCCTGATATAGTCAGTGATGTGGTCAGGATCTTGCAATTGGTCAGATCTCATTAACTATTTTAGATTGCTGAGGACATATCTCCCTTCCCAGTCACTAATTTCCAGGCCCTTTCTGCGTTTGGCAATAGGAGATTCTGATTCTTTTAAACAAGACTGTCCCTCTGTACTGCCTTTAATCACCCAAAGGTGCTCCATGGGATTATGAGATTTCAAGAAGAAAGAGATATCTCTCCCCACTTTTATTATCATCTCTGACAAATATTCCCAGGATAGCAGATATTGAAAAGTGGCACGAGAAGAAGAAAGGTAACTGCTTATCTAGCAGCTCTTTGATCCCATGGATTAACCATGGAATCAGAATCTTGCAGGTAAATTTAATCTCCTCTTTACCAGCACCTGTCAGTAAGCTCCCCACCCGCAACCCCCAGGACCTAACAAGCACTTGGGAAGAAACACCATGAAGCAAGTGAGTTTCCATTCTGCTGGATTCCATCTGGTTACAAATTAGGTTCAGCCCGAGTTAGCTTCTGCGCACAAAGTCAACCAAGTGCAGGACGTACATTGCCCGTGCTCATTAAGGCTTAGCAGACTTCCATCTGCTCTTTCTGTTTCAGGCAATTCATCCCCAGTCTCCCAGCAACATGAATGCAGGACTGTCACTCTGAGGTTTTTTTGGTTCTTTGATTGCATTCAGAGTCTTGAGTAACATGATCTATGCCTGTTGGTTCTGGCTCATCTTATGACAAGGCCTATTCTCTTTGTCTTTGCCATAGACTACTGATCATATAGGCTTGGTAACCTTTACTTCAAATATTCAATCACAGCACAGAGATACACAGTACTGCCTGTCAAACACACGGTTATTGAAATTAAAAAATAGATATGTATACACATGCACATGTGTAAAAAGGAGACATGGACTACTTAAAAATGGAGAACATATAAACTTATATTTTGAATGATAGCAAGGTAATGCCACACTCTGAAGTTCTTAGGAACTTTTTTTTAAAAAAATGGTTATGAATTACAGAAGTATAAGAAATTAAATGAAATGCACTACAATTAAATTCCACAGCTGTGGTGTAAAGCAACATCAAGTTTATGAAGGCTGTAATTTAGTCTCAACTTTAAATACAATAGATTGGAAATTTTTTTGAAAATCCCCATCCATAATGCAACAAGAGTCTTAACTGTAAAATTTGACATTTTGTGTAACAAATACACTCATTTTCATTACTGCTGTACAATACAATGACTAATATAAATGCTCACTTAATGTGATTTCATTTCATTATAACTCTGCATATATTAGCAGAACAAAGAATCTGTAAAATATGGATGTGTGTATGCAAGTAAATTGGTTTGGATTTCAGATTAGATTCCATAATGATTGCGAGTTTGGCTTCTAGAGGATTACCCTGCCTTGTCCTTGGAACACTGACAAATGAAATGCCAACCATAATGTCTTTCTGTGCTTTCTCCCTCAGGACATGCATGTTATCAGCACTGATGAGAATCAAGTGTTTGCTGCAGTTCAGGAATGGAACCAGAATGATACCTACAACCTTTACATCTCTGATACCCAGGGGATTTACTTTACCCTGGCTTTAGAAAATGTCAAAAGTAGTCGAGACCTAGAAGGCAATGTGATGATAGACCTGTATGAGGTATGTGAAAACAGTGCATATTTTCATCTCATGAAAATCATTAGCTAAGGTTGAAGTGCCCTTGATCTGTAACTGGAAATTTAATTGGATGTGTAATGTAATCTCTACGTGAGGAAGGAATATACAAAAATAATATTTCTCCAGAGTTACATTCATCTTTGCAATCAGCATTATATATCAATATTGGATATCAGTGCACAATTGTAGTACTGATGTTGATTTGTACATCTATAGATAACTTGGTTTCATCAGCACTCACCTCTATCTTCACCTCTAAGACAGGGCAAAAGCAAATTCTGATCAGTTGCGTTTAACTGCCGAATATAGGCAGTTCTTAAATATGTAGATTTGCATGAAGTGATTTCTACACACTTATGAAATTTCTTCACCTAAAACAGAAGTGGGCAATACTTCTGTTGTGGTGGTGGATGGGTCAGAAATGTATGTGCACATTCATAGGCATATACACTCAAGCATATGGAGTTACCACCTGCCTTGTTACTTAAGTACACGGATTCTCTTCTCACATCTGCATCTGGAATGGATCTAACTGAGCAGGGACCATGTTTCATAGTTCAGATACTGTAGAAATCACCCATAATTTTTTTGAAGAAAAGCCATACCTGGGTTCACTTAAATACACAATAAAGACTATAATTGTATTTTCCCCACCAACCTACGTAGTATTTGAGAGGATAGGGTCCATCTCTCTCTTCCATACTTTTGTGAACATTAAAGAGATTTTGGTGGACTGATTGTCTTAACATCCTATTTTGAGCATCTATAAATAGTAAGCACGCTCAGTAAACCTGGAGAAAGCCTTAAAGGTCAGTGTTTAAAAGCAGACGAGTGTGGGTGAATAAGCAGGGCATTTCTTGACTACAGTGAAGAAAATTTCTTTCACAACAATATATTATTCCGCCGTGCGCTTTGGCAAGTTGTTGAAAAGCTGTTGTCTTCTATTACCATCAGATTAAGGAGTGGTTTTGCTGCATTATGTAAAGATGTCCTATAGCTCAGAGGGAGAGGGAGGGAGAAGAAAAGGAAAGATCGAAAGAAAGCCTCTGTTTTATTAAGCTGACATTCATAGCAGTCTGGATTGAAATTGATGTGATCAGACTAGTCATGTCGCATCTGTTGATTGCCTACATAGAAGGAATATTGGCTGACATTGAACTTGGCAGAAACCATTTCCTTCACTCTGATTGCTCTGGCCAATTGCTAGGATTGCTATGAATGATGAGTGTTTAAGAATAAATGAAGAGAAAGAACAGGTGAGAGAAGAAAAAAAATCAGTTGATAAAGTAGGGAGAGATAGGAAATAAATATATGTTTAAGAGTTATAAAAGCCTATATGAGTGAGTTTATTTATTTTATTCTTTACATTTTGTTCTCTTTGACTTTCTGTTGAATATTTGAATGAATATTATGATTTATAACAAGTCATTCCATTCAATTCATTCTGTCATTTTCACGAAGAGGCACATTTGGGTAGGGAAACTGCTTTTTAATCATACACATACTTGAAAGAGCTATTTGGAGACATACCAGACAAGTGTGTAAGGATGTTTGTTACAGATGGGGCTGGGTATACTGGCATTGCTCTCTACACGTTTGTGTTCCTTGTACTCTCCCCTTGCCCTCAGTCAAGTTCTTGTTTTTATCCAGAAGATCTTAAGGAAAAATATTCTTGGATTTGCAAAGATGTAGGAAGTAGTGCCATTGTACATGACTCTGCCTTCCATATACTCACTTTAGATATCAGTCATATGTGAAGAATTTAAAACATTTTGAGGTAGTCTATGCCACTAAGTATTAACAAGGAAAGTTTTTTTAAAAAACAAAAAACAAAAATACATTTTTATATACAGTATAACATTGGAGTGATTTTATTTTTTGCACTAAAATGTGTATGGGCTGTATTGAAGATACTCATGAACCTGTTCTTCAGTCATAATGTTTAATCATAATTATTGCTCAATCATTTAGTCACTTCCAATTCTTTGTGATGTGATGTACAATCGTACTCCAGAACTGTCTTTTGGTAAATGAGTTATTTTCATGCTCATGATATCATGATATCATACCATATCATCAGTAATGGTATCTAGGCTTCAGAGGTCCTGTAGAACTCTTTTTTTATATTATCGTGTTTCCCCAAAAATAAGACCCTGTCTTATATTTTTTTGAACCCTGAAATAAGCGGTTGGCCTTATTGCCATGCACTCAAAAGCCTGATTGGGCTTATTATCAGGGGATGTCTTATTTTGGGAAAGCAGGGTACCATCATTTTTTGCAAAGATGCAAGACTTTCTCCAAAGTCTTAATATAGCTTCCTCTTTATGTATACAAAATACTTCACTATCAGTGCATTCCTGGCCTGTTTTTTTAAATCTGTTATTGAATGGCATGTTTGTCTTACTAATCAAGGTACTCACAACAATTTTATCCAGCATGACAATTCAGAGGCACTGATTTTCTTCATTCAATTCTTTAAATGATGCAAATTTTAGAGCCATTTGATGACCAAGAATACTCTTCCATTAATAATCTGTCTCTTTCTTGGCAATGTTATTATTTTGCTTAGATTTGTCACAAGTTTCCTTAATTCATGTTCAGTCACTATCTCTCCAGATTTTGGAACCAAAGAAAGAATGTTTGTTATTACTTTTACTGTTTCTTCACCTATTTGTGGTTTTATAGTTTTTTCCTTTAGCTTCAACACGAGATTATTTAAGTCTTCCACACTTAAGGATATCATCAGAATATCTCAGGTTGTTGTATTTTTTACATATCATATGTCTTTTACTTCAATATTTTTATGATATGTTCTGAAATAAAATTAAATAGAATATGTGACAGTATTTAATTCTGTCCACCACATCTCTATTTCCTCTTTGAGCCAGTTAGCTCTCCTATATTCCATTCCATTCTAACTGTTACTTCTTGATCAACATAGAGTTTCTTCAATTTGCAATTCAGGTAGTTCAGCACACCGAAATTTTTAAAGGCTGTTCACAATTTGTTCATGCAGTCAGAAAACTTAATATTTGCCTTAAGGCAAAAACTCTCTTGGCTTTTCCATTATCCATAAGGTAGTTGAAATGTAATCCTGGATGCCTCTGCTTCTGAAACCAGGTTGCAGCTTTGATAGTTCTTATTCCATATGCTGCTGAAGTCCGGGTTGCAACATTTTGAGCATTATTTTACAAGGATGAGAACTTTGGGCAAGTATTTGGTGGTTGGATTAGTCTTTACCACTACTATTTTTTTTTTAGATTGGAATATAGATTGACCTTTTTCAGTCCTGCAGCTACTACTGTGTTTTTCATATTTGCCTACAAACTGCAAACGGTATTTTAAGAACATCAACTTGCAAGATTTTAAGCAGTTCTGCTTGTATTTTGTCTACTCAATTAGCATTGTTATTGACAATACTTTCTGAGGCACATTTAACTTTATTTGCTAAAAGTTACAGTTCTACATTGATCATTGTACTTTTGTATGGATCAGTGATCCATCTTTGTGAACAATATTCTCTTGATTTCTATAATTTTTATATATATATATATATATATACAGTATATTGTATATCGCTTTTTTTCTGCAACTCAGGTTCTTGATTCCTTGCATTGCTTATTTAGATATTACTGCAGTCCTCTTTTGTTTATACCCACATAATTATTTTTTTCTTGTTTACTATGTACATGCAGATACAAAACCACGGAATTTTATGGGAGAAGCATACAGTAAACATGCATATTATACTATATTTCAGCAAATGTGAAATAACTTCTTTATTATCTGAAATAAAGATGCAAGTTTAAATGTACAAATTTCATTACTTTTAACATAGAAAAGTATGTGTATGCTTTTATCACCTGCCTGCAACCCTAAAAAATAATAACATGGTGCCAAATGCTAATTAAAACTGCTTGGTATCCCATAAAGCAGAAACCTTTGTATTCTTCTGCTTTCTAGATGTCCTCATTTTCTATTTCCTTTCACCTTCCTAAAGCTAGACTTTAACAATCTAACTTTAAACATTGGTAATATTTTCTAGAACTACAATACCTAGCTGTTGAATAATAATTAAACAACAATGGCTATGAAGATAAAATATCTTTAAGTGTTGTTGGCCATGCCAAGGAAGCAGTATAGGATGTAGTAACTAGAAATTCCCTGCTGAAAGACAGAAGGAGTCTCTCCCACCCCACTTACTCTCTCGTAGAAGCAGCAATTTACCCAAAGGCAGAATCTCATGCTGCTGTAAATATTGGGCAAAAAACCAAAAGATTTATTTGATCTTAAGGGAAACTAGAGATATTGGAATATTGATTTTTAGCACAAAGACAAAGTCAAGCTTTTCTGATGAATGAAAGTTATTTTTCATTTCTTCTCCCTTATCCGTTCCACTTTTATTCTCAGTGAAATGAATTGTTCCAAAAATTTGTGGACTATTTCTCTTTTGGGCTTCTTTTGTAATTATGGAAATATTAATCCAACATAACAGGAAAATATCAGATTGTGAAAGATTATCATCAATCGTTTGGTATCATTTCTGAAGGGAAAAAATGTGTAATTTGCTTCTCTTTCCATTGCGTTATTTGGAATTACTGTATAAGACTCGATTACAGTTTGACAATTCATGATAAAACAAGGTATAATAAGAGGAAAGAGTGTCCCTGGCTATTTTTTGTTTCCTTATATACAGTTGTTTTAAGGAAGAATCAGACAAATTTAGGAAGAAAGAATTAGCAGAACCTATTGAGCAAAATAATAAATAATGCTATGCAGAAAGATTCTACTGGGTTTTTCCCCCTACTGGGTCTTTCAATTTGCTAAAAATTATTTTACAATAAAACAAACAATATGCACCAACAAACCATATAAACAAGTCTATAAAAACTGGTTAAAAGTAAATTAACAACAAAATGAGAAAAAAGCAAAATATAAAGGTTTATTACATTTGAATTTACAAATTGAGCAAGCAAGCAGTTTAAATGTTGAAACAATATTGCCTTCACTGCCTTTTGAAAAGTAACAAATTAGGGCAGCCTTGACTAAAGGGGAGAGACAATTCAATAGGAATGGGGTAGACACAGGAAAGACATTTTTCCCTTGCCTTTTGGGTTAAGTGTTGGGACCTAAGTCAGGCAAATTGGCCAAAAGGAAGTGATCATAAAAGTAACCAGGAACCATATAAAAGTGTTTAGATTGAATTTGCACTTTAAATTGTATTTGAAACCAATGTAGCATCTCCAGAACTCATAATATATGACTGAAAGCATATAGGAACTATCACGTTCAAGCAAATAAATTGTATCAACTTCAGTTTCCAGTTCATTTTCAAAAGAAACAGAATAATATTGCAGTAATCCAATCTCAAGATGATGAGTTATGAGTTTTTGTTTCCAGGGCTCCCTATTTCATAAACAGCTACAATTAGTTGAACTGGACAACCATATAAATCATATAAAACTGTTTAGGTTTAATTTGCACTTTGAATTGTATTTGAAGCTAAAATAACAGATATGAAGCCAGTGTTTCCACTAGGATTGACTCCTAGTCAGCAACCCCAATTCATAATCCATACCCATCCATTCATAATGGAGTAAAGTCATTGCAAAATAGTGCCATCTCTACTTGCAACCCTCCAAGTGGCCCAGAACAATGCCACTAATAGTATCAAACACCTCTGAGAGGTCTAATAGGATCAAGAGAGCTGATCTCTCTACCTCATGGGTCTGAAAAAAGTGATCTATCAAAATAACAATCTGGTTTCCGCCCATTGCCAGGCCTAAGCCACAACTGAAAAAGAACAAGATATGTATGGTCTACTCTGCAACTATTGTAATTATACCTTCCAAACTTTTATATAAGATTGGAATTGGTGTTGTATAATAAAGTCAGATCAAGAAATGGCTTCTCAGGGAAGTGCACAATATTGTCTCCTTCAAAGGAGCTGATGCTTTCCCTTCTCCCAAAGAGTTCCTAAATGCACACATAGAAATACACACACACACACAGAGAGAGAGATGCACCCACAGATAACCCTGTCTACCCAAACACAAGTGAGCATGATTTATATGAAGGTGTAGAATTTATATTCAATGACACACACACTTTTTTTTTACCATCTACAAGCTTAAATAAAACTCCGATGATTGTGACTGCTTTTGTCCCAGTCATCTCATCAAAATCTACATTTTGTTTTTTATGTTCAACCCTGCAACGTCTTCTTCTAACCTGTCTGAATCCGCAGTAGTTTCCATCTTATTTTTTTTACCCCAACCTCTGGTAAGTAAGAAATCTTTTGATGCAATTTTCACCTCGGAGCCTGCTACATATTCATTCTGTATGCTATTTCTAAAGCTAGATTTGACAGGTACCAAATGCACACACAATTTGTGTCAAATTTATCTTGTTTTTCAGCCATGTCAATTTCTCCTAGGTAGCAGGGATAAAGGGAATGTTCTTGGCTAACAAGAAGATTGACAACCAAGTAAAAACTTCCATCACCTACAACAAAGGCAGAGACTGGCATTTGCTGCAGGCCCCGGACACAGATCTGAGAGGGAACCCAGTTCATTGCCTCCTAGTAAGTGAAGGTTTATGGGCATGAGGGAGGGAAAAAACCCTCTTCTTATTATTATTCAGTGACATAGCCTCTTTCCCCATAATTTTTTCATAGAGGGCTTTTTTTTTTTTCAGGCAACTTTTTAAAATTTTTGAGTTGGAAATGAGTTTATTTTTCTTTTCACTATTCTTGAACATTGAAAAGGAAACTAGATCATTGCCTCCTACCATAGTAAGTGATGATTTAGGCATGAGGAAAGGGAAAACTCTCTTCTTATTATTTATATTATAGATGGAAATGAAGTTATTTTTCTTTTCACTAGAAAAGAAATGTCTGTTCTTGAACACTTTTGTCCAACTGAATCTTTTATTAGTCATATTTCTATGCCACCCACTCTCCGAGGACTCTGGGCAGCTTACACCAAAGACAGTATACTAAATAGCATATTGCCCCCAACAATCTGGGTCCTCATTTTACCCACCTTGGAAGGATAGAAGGCTGAGTCAACCTTGAGCCGATGAGATTTGATCCGCTGATCTGCTGAACTAGCAGTCAGCTGAAGTAGCTGCAGTACTGCACTCTAAGCACTGTGCCACCTCAGCTCTTTTGACAACACAGACTAGCCAGTATGAGTCAGGGCAATAAGGGTGCAAGAAACAAGCCATTTGTCTAAACAAATAGGCTTGCTATATTAATTTTTTATGGTTAACCATGGAACCGAGTGCAGATAGCATTATCAGGATAAATTGTCCCCTTCATAAAATAGTATTATTTGTTGGAATCCGGGAAATATGCTTTCTCTGTTACAATTCCTGCTGTCTGGAACAGCATCCCTGCAGAAATCCATTTGGATCCCATCTCAATGACATTCAGAAAGTAATTGAAAATTTAGCTGCTTTCTCAGGCTTTAGGACAGAATTGTGCTTGGGGTTTTTAAGGGTCTTTTATTGTTATACAGGTAGTCCTGACTTACAACAGTTCATTTAGTAACCATTCAAAGTTATAATGGCACTGAAAAAAAATGACTTATGACTGTTCTTACTACCATTGCAATATTGTCATGGTCATGTGATCAAAAGTAGGATGCTTTGCAATTTATGACAGTTGCAGTGATCACCTTTTGTGGCTTTCTTACAAGCAAAGTGAATGGAGAAACCAGATTCACTTAACAATGGGGAAGTCTATTCACAATCATAGTACTAACTTAATAACGGCATTCACTTAACTATGGCAAGAAAGGTCATAAAATGGGGCAAAATTCACTTGTTTCATTTCAAATCAGAAATTTTGGACTCAATTATGGTCATAGGTCAAGGACTACTTGCATGGAGTTTGTTATCTGGATTATAATTTGTTTCTTTTAAAAAAATAGTTGCTATTTTATTTAGAGAGAGAGTGCAGCCTCCAATTATACTGAAGCAGAATTTGTTTTATTTTTGTACCAGAAGCAATAAGATAAACCCAAAAAGAATGGAAGAGGTGCTTTATGGTCTTATGCAGGTCTTCGAAATATAGCAGGTCTTCGAAATTGTTATGACATATGCATGTTAATATACAGTTAGTAAAGTAATAGTGGTGAATATAATAGCATTCTTGAGTTAAACAAGGAGTATAAGAACATTTCTGTTAAGATGTTGCTTTCTTCTAACTATCCTTGATGCCCAGTGGTTTATTACCTTTTTAATGCCCAAATTAACATTAACATATAGCTGGTAGTTTATTTTTGACTTGAAAAGTGTATTTAAGGAAAAGTAGTTTGCTTGCCTAACATATAATTTTTATATTCATATATTGTAACAAAAATGTTGGCTGCCAGTCACACTGTTTGAATTTCTTTCAATATCATGGGTAGGATCCCTTCTAAAAAGGAATCAAACAATGGGAAGACCATCTTTTAATTTCCATGACAAACTATTCACTCAGATACACTCTAATGAAGATACATTTTATTCTTTCCTCTCTCAAAGACATACAAATAAACATTGCTTTGTTGTCAGTTTTCTAACTCTCTCCTGTCAAATGAATGGTAAATGAACCTGATCACAGCACTTCTCTTAGGTAATGTGTTCAGGCAATTTTTCCCTTGGAAAGAGTGACAGATGTACCTTGACCCTTCCCTTTAAAGAGGTCACAACAATATGGGTCCTGAACAAATGGTCTAATGTGAGATAGTATATTAGTGAGGATGAACTTGGAAGAGATATGTCAACCTTGAAAAAAGTCATTCTGAACTTCCTCCTTTTTCCTGGCTGGCTCCCAAATTCTGATACCATTCCCTCTTCTCTAGAAAGGTTTGTCTGAAATCTTGTGAGCCATAAAAATACATACTGAAGAATGGATAGTCCCTTTGCCTTCTTTTTATTGTTGCAGTCCACCTCTTTTAAAGCCATAGGATATGTATGTGCAGAAGATAGAGAAAGATAATTCATACACTACCTGTGTGGTCAATTTATAAAAATAAAATGAATAAAATAATGGAGAAAATGTTTTTCTGATATATACTGTAAATGTTGGAGAACATGGACAATTATGTAATTCCCAGGAGTTTACCTTCGATTGGATAGCTAATGCCTTAGTTTAACTTGAGTAGTTGCAGCCAACATCCACATATAAAGAATAAAATAATAAAGAATATAAAGAAGAACATAAAGAATATAAAGAATTCTTTATATTCTTCATATAAAGAATAACCATCTATTTATCTGATGTATATACTTAATGTAATAATATAAACATATTCAACGTTGCCTGATTTTGGCAGGAGTAACAAAATAAGATTCCTGAAAAAATAGCTGTGTTGAAGGAATGATGTCTGTGAATATTAAAGTGTGTTTATTTAATTTAATTCCAGTTCTGGAATTGAATGGAATACCTTTGATCTAATCAATGGCCTTTCCTGTTGCTGTGCCTGCCCTCTAGAACAGCATCCCCCTGGAGATCTGGATGAGTCTGGCATTGTTAGCTTTTTGAAAATCATTAAAGAACTGAATGTTCCTGCAGGCATTTGGGCCAGGAGGTTAATTGAACCCCTTTGTCTTTGTGATTTGGAAGGGAATAGGTTTTGTTTTGTTTTAATCTCAACCATGTGTAATAATACAATTTATGTATTTGATTTTATGAACAAAGTTGTTTATTTTTAATTTTTTGCTTTCAATCTTTGTACAACTTCCAGAGTCACCTTTGACACAATTTGTGTAAATACATCAATCAAATTGAGCAAAAAGGAATCAGCTTCCCAAAAATAAGCAACACACATACACACACATTCTTTGGATTTTCTTCATCAGCCTTTCCCCTCTCTTGATCTTATTTCAATGCTTTTCGGAGGCATGGACTGTAAATTTTGTCTTGTTGCCATCACTTAATAAAACCAAAACAACTTCTGAGAAATGAAATTATGGTGTTTGAATAAATTGGAAAGTTAAGGTCTAAATCCCAAATCTCAGCCATAAAGCACACTGGCTTTCAATCTACATTCATATATGCATACCTATTATAATATTTATCTTGGGGAAAGCAATATTATGAAAGATGAAGAAAGGTAATGAGAAATAGTAGGCCAAACTAATAAAATCCATGACATAAGAAAATGCAAGAAATTAGCCAAAACTAATTTACAGAAATAATATCTCCCCATTGTTCTACCTTTGCAACCTAACTTTATTTCTACTGAGTTTATACATTATCTTTTATTATAATCTTTACTTTGGAGGGACTCATTCCTACAAGTACAACATTTTCTCACTTTTCCCCTTCCTCTTAACCCATTCATCTTCATATATTTCTTTTGCTATTCAGTCCTCATGAAATCTCTCCATATGACTAAATTATTTAATGTGCTAATATTGGTCATTCACTTTTTTATTCAGCTGACATTCATTCAGCATATTCACCTGTGTCTCTTTGTTTTATTTCACTTATTATTTACTCTGTTCCAATTGCTCTTTGCTTCTTTCAACTAACACTCATTCCTTGCAACACACCATATATTATCTATGGTAGTATCTTTGTATTACCAAATTGCACATATTAACATTTCTCAATTTCACTATCTTTAGTAAATATATTATGAAAATACATGACATTAATCTATTTTCTCTAATTTTCCACCATTTAGATATAAAGTGCAGTTTACTCTTTTAAGCTGAAATACAGCTAACTCTTGTTTTTTTATTTATTAATTTTCAGGTCCATATTCCTCACTCCATTATATAGTCTGACATTCAGTGAAAATGATCAGCTTCTCAGCCAATAACATGGTATCACCTCCATCCAAATCTTCATGCACATTCATTTCCTGACCAATTATGTGTAATGACACCTACACACTCCTTATTCATTTGACAATCAGTGGGATTTGCCATAATCCTATTGTTAAATTGAATTATTTACTATGCATTGCATTCTAATTTGGGTTTTTCTTTCATCTTATACTATTCCAATTGCATTCTGGAATTTTCAACTCCGTGCTCATAGAAAACATTTTCTAATTCAAGCCTCTTTACTTATCATAACCAACATGTGCACAATAAGCTTTATCTCACACAGTCATATATTACTTAATATCTTTCTAAAGAAGAAAGATCTGGTCTGCTCATCGTCTGCTTCACATAAAGCTTTACTGCACTTCCAAAATTTTGCTCTAAACTACCTCACATATCTATAGGGGAGAAAAATACAGTAGCACTCCAAGCATTAGGCATAGATGCAGTCTTCATCACATTAAACAAGCCACATAACCATTCTACAAAAAAACCACATATTGTAATATTTCTGTATTTGCAGCACATCCATATTGTAATGTTTCTGTACTTACAACAGCCTTACCATTTTTAACATTTTCACAGCATTTGTGACTTCCTTTTAATCATTCATTTTCTTGAACATTAACATTTAGAACATTCATCTGAATTCTGGTCTTGACATATTACTGTCATCCAAATAGAGATATCTAAAAACTCCTACCAGCATTTCATCACTTCAGTTTTATCCTAAATCATCTCTTCACTTTCATGTTCAATTCCATTCTCTCTGCTGGAGGCTCCTTATTTAGGCTTCTTCACCTACTTCTGATTTTTTTTAAAATCCCATCAAAAACTTTGCATTTTCTTCAAACCTCGATCTCAAGTATCATATGTGGTTTATGTGAAGATAAAATTATTGGAAAGGAGAGTCATTCTGATAAACTAAACAATCTTTTTCTGCCAACAACTAGTTGGCACAAGTATGCTTCTTTTCAAATTCCTTCTCATGCACACAGTAGATAAATCCTTAAAGCAGTAATATGATAAAGAATTGTGATTTCCTGATTTTAACTAAACCTAAAGTTGGAGAAATCTGTTTGAACAGGAATGCTACTTTTGATCCATCTGTATCACATTATACTACACTTCAGAAGTTGGAGCCAAATAGACTAAGGAAGGTCATAGATATGTGTGAACAGGAAGGAAAAGTGGTCCTATTGTGTGACCATTTGGTGATCATGCTTTTTAATATTATGGATTATTATGGATTGTGGATTCTTTCCCAAGGTCTTTTTGTCACTTGAGAATGAATGAATGAAATTGTATAAAAATACTTGCATTACAAAAAAAGTACTGTAGCTGTATCAATAACTTCTTCAAGATCTATGCTATGCTATGCTATGCTATGCTATGCTATGCTATGCTATGCTATGCTGTCTCCAGTACTGATGAGCATCTCCTTGTTTGTTTTCCTCCAAGCCATATTGCTCCCTTCATCTCCACCTGAAGGTTTCAGAGAATCCTTACACTTCTGGTAATATTGCCAGTCGTGATACAGCTCCAGGAATCATTGTGGCCTCTGGTAAGAAATGTTCCAGTGCTATATAACAAAAGTCTACAATTTCTTATTGCTATTTAAGTGGAACATAAAAGTTCAAATTTTCAACTTGTGGTTCAAAGGTGACACGAAGTAATAGTTGCAACCAAGATGATCTATTTCAAATCTCATTTTTTTTCATGAACTCTCAAGTTTGGCCTGAGTCAAATCACTGTGTTTCATCTTCTGTCAGCAAAACAAGGAAGGTAACAAAATTGACTTAACAAAACATAACAAAAGAGGTGGGAAATATTTGTTTTGTGATACCCTTTCTTGCTGGCTGCTGGCTATGAAATTGAATCTTGCCATGACCTAAAGGACAACACTTGTCTTACCCTTATTTTGTAAGGTTGGTGCAAGAATTGCAACATGATTAACTAAGTAATATATATGAAATAATAATTATATATACATATATACAAATACACACACACACACACACATATAACACATATATGTGTGTGTATATATGTATATACACATACACCACACAAACTATTGATAAATTAACATCGTTGCATTTTCTGTTTTATAATAAATTGCATCCTTAAGTCATCCCTGTTCAACACAATATATATTACTAAAAGCTTTCATTTCTTTTATATTTAAGTTTTATAGGTTGGGTACTTTCCTTACAGGTAACATTGGATCAGAGTTGTCAGAAAATGATATCAGCATGTTTGTTTCGTCTGATGCTGGAAACACTTGGAGACAAGTGAGTAGCAATGAAAACAATAAGTGGTCAACTGGGGGAGGAGAGTAGTGTGAAATATCTCTGAAGAGCAGTTTATTGGAGCATTTTGCTTGATTGGGCAAAGCCACTGTTAATCTCCATAAAGAGGCTAATTTTCCGTTATCCTCCCCATTCCAGTCCTCATAAAACTGAGGATAATGTGGACTGGGAGCAGATAATTTCCTCCCTAGCTATCCTCTCTGCAGTGAACTTTGAACATGTGTGATTCTGGGCCAAAAGTTAGTAAATAACCAATATATCTATGATGATTATATTTAGTTGGAATTTTGTGTGCTTGAACATTGCCTTCCATTGTTTTCATGTATTCCCCTTTTCTGATAGACCTGTTTATATAATTAATGTTTTGCTTAAATTATTGGCTTTAAAAGAGAGCTCATCATAGTTACCCCTTGAGCTAGCACAAAATTCATTAATTTCTCTATTGTTTTCAAAACAACTGCCTTTTTATGCTTTAAGAGGTAGGCTGAAGGAAGAGCCCTGGGATTCGGTCTGACTAGTGGCAGCCTATCTTAATTACTTTTTACCTTCCAGGGGAACCCGTGTAAAAGGGTCTGACAAGTAAGATTTTAAATGATCACTTTTCCTGTATGTAAGATGACCAAACCACAATCCCAGTTTAGGGCATCTGTCCCTTTTTTGTACAGTGATGAAAGTCACCATTATATATATTATCTGTTATTGGAAGACTCACATATTTTCATCCTGCATAATATTCTTTAGCAGTACTATGGCACTTCAGTAGTTATTTTAATTCATTGTTTTTCTTTTCCCTTTTGTTTAATCCTGATCTCATTGTTTAATGACAAGAGGAAAATGTGGTTCATCATTTACCTGTGTTTGTACTGTGCATTATCATTTATAAAGTTATACTAACTTAATTCCCTGGTTACAAAACCTTTGAAAAAAGATGTTGTAGTGAACAAGTGAGCCTGATTCACTCAGATATGTGCTTTCTCCTTCCCATATTTCACTCAGGCATCCAAAACTCAAAATCTCAGTTGACAAGAAGGAGATTATCTTGCAGCTAAAAAAAATGTCTGGTGACAGCAAAATGGGGATGGGGAGTGGGTGGGTACGTAACTAAATCCCTTTCCATTGGCTACAGAAAACAGTCGTGTAATATTGCTTAAAAAGTGGGAGGAGTGAAACTGGTGCCTTACCCAGGAAAACCTCCAAGGAGATTTCTACAGCTTCAGGAATCTTGAGCCTGGGTCTTGAGGCTGAGAGGATAAATAATTATAGAAAGTAGATCTGAAGGAGTTATGTAGGCGATCCCAGATAGAGGGATGTTCATCTCTTTGATCTGATGAACAAAGAGATGAAGGCGGCTTTCTAGTAAATGTATGTGGAATAAGAAAGGGAAATTGAGGAAAACTTGTTCTCGTCTCTATTCTGGGACTGTAATTGCTAGGAGGTTAGATGTATGAGCGAAGCAGAGATGAAGGCAGGCCAGTGGGAAACATCTCTGAATTAAGAGAAATAAAGCTGATGGCTGTTAGAAAGACAATGGAGATATGTCTGCAGAGTCTAGATAAAGGCATTCAGTTAGAATTCCCCATCAGCATGCTTTATTTCAATTGCTCATTAGATATTGTTAAATATAGTTAAATGGAGTAAAGTCTGTGAATTTTTATAACTTTAATTATTGTCTCAAAATCTAAGTTCCATATACATGTTCTGCAAACTGAGGATAAGTTTTTGAAAAGCTATGTTATGCTATTGACTTTAATTCTCTATAAGTAGCAAAATACAACTAGACATAAAACAAATCTGCCAGGAATGCCTTCTCATCTTTAGTGAACCTTTTATTGATAAGAACAAGAAATAAACAGCAATCAAATCAATACATAAGAGCATTACTTTGGTTCAAGTCTTAAAGGTTTACATGTATTTCATGTAGATTAACTTTCAGAATGACCTATATTTATATCCACTGACATGGATATAACTACAATCTCTTACACAAAACTAAGAATGAGAATTACTAAATAAAATGTTTTGTTTTCCCCTTGCTTTCCTACTTCTCAAATTAACTCCGTATCCATTAACTAAGTATATAAGCATTTAAAGAGCTCTAGCAATCAGATAATATGGACAACAATATGCATGACTCTTGCATATCACTGAATACATTTTAGCAAGTACTTGGCATTTAATTAATATGCAATTACCACATCATAAACTGAAATCAAGTACATACTTTAGAGAATTAACAAAGCAAAGTGTAAGTGCTCTGTTAATACTTATTGAATCTCTTAGACATAAAACATTGGGAGTCCTGCCTATAGGTCTCTAAATATAAATGCAAATGTATTTATGGTACCAATTAAAGTATGTCGTATATCTTAAAAATATGGTCCTGCACAAAATTGGATTGATATCTAACAAGATTTATTTTAGGAACATCCAACATTCCTACCAAACTTGTTTTGGTGGTGGAATAGAAAACATGTCTTCAAACTGACTATCTTGCAAGTACAGGAGAGGCAATGTTTCTTAAGTTTTTAGGGCTTTAAAACTGAAACCAGCAAGAACTGGTTCCCCAAAAATGGTAGATAACACACTTTAATTTTAGATTAGTCTGGAGAAAAGTATTCATGATAATATGTTGTTCACTAATTGAGGTGTGAAGCACACTCAACACCACATAGATTGCAATCATCTAATCTAAAAGTAAACAAGGCATTTGTCACTGTGAGTAGGTTGCTCTACATTAATTAGAAATAGATGGGTTTTATGCTTCCAAATGTAGAGCAAGACTGTCTTTCGGGTTCATGGCATAGGGCCTAGCTATCGCCGAGACCGCCTGCTGCTACCGACGACCTCCCATCGACCCGTGCGCTCCCACAGAGAGGGCCTCCTCAGGGTGCCATCAGCCAAACAATGTAGGCTGGTGGCCCCCAGGGGGAGGGCCTTCTCTGTGGGGGCTCCTACCCTCTGGAATCAATTGCCCCCGGAGATAAGAAGAATCCATGACCTCAATGCCTTCCGTCGTTCCCTGAAAACCCATCTTTTTCAGCAAGCCGCGTTGCCTTAAGAAGAAATTTTTAAATTCTTTTAATTAGTCTGTGATTCTTAACTTCGGGCCAAAATTTATATATATTTTTAAATGTTTTAATATTTGTATTCTATGTTTTTTATCTTGGCTGTACACCGCCCTGAGTCCTCAGGGAGAAGGGCGGTATATAAATTGGAAATTAAATTAAATTAAATTAAATTTCTAGGAATATGATGAGAACCTCCACTTCTTGGGCAAGACTTTCCAGGTGGACATTTGAGGATCTAGTTCAGGCTCCATGTATTCTCTGAATTACCACTTCTCAGAGGAAATTATTTGTTTTCCAAGAGGAATGGACTGTCTTTCCATTCTATTTTTGTGATTGTTAAATCTGCAGGATTTATTTATTTGATTGATATCTCACATTTCTAGTCAAATGAACACTTATTAGAGCTACAGTTAGCAAAGTATACAAATGTTGGAATTTAGAATTTTTTTTCCATATAAGTAGAAGTTTATATGCTGCAAAACATGAAAAATGTATGCATTTATATTTACTTTTTGTGTTTGGCTTGGAAAGCTACAGATAAGGCACCACTAAATAATTAGTAAAAAAAAAAGAATAATGATTAGTGTCATTGTTCAATAACTGTAAACTTTTCTTTTGAATAAATTGTTATTATTAATCCTATTCAGGCATCATAGTACCTGATATTCTCCTACCATATATACAGCTATATAGATGAATATAGATTCATTCTGCAAATGACCAAGGTCCTTCCTTCCTTCCTTCCTTCCTTCCTTCCTTCCTTCCTTCCTTCCTTCCTTCCTTCCTTCCTTCCTCCCTCCCTCCCTCCCTCCCTCCCTCCCTCCCTCTGTCCCTCCCTCTTTTTTCTAAACAATGAAATAAAATCTTGATCATTCTCATTCCTAAGAATATAATTTATTTGGGGGGAGGGCATTAATAGGATTAAATTTTTATATACTTATTTATTACAAAAGAAACCTGTCATCCCTTGGTTCTACATACAAAGGACTCCATGTATCTTTTTATGTGTCTCACTAGATCTTTGAAGATGAACACAGCGTCCTTTATCTGGACCAAGGTGGAGTTTTGGTTGCTATGAAACATACATCTCTGCCTATCAGACATCTCTGGTAATTAATGTGACTTCTCTAATTCCATTCATCATAGAGTCCTTCGGTGTGTATTATATGCCATTAGTAGTTGGATTGTGACCAAACTTTTTTACTAAGTGCCAGGATATGCCAATTAAACAAATGAGCATGCTGCCTCTTTTCATCCCAATAAAACTATATCTGCATTTTGTACATACAATTTTTGACAGACAAAACACTTGCAGGACAGTATTATAATCTACATTAGTATTAAGAAGTTGCATTGTTTTGTTCTAGCTGAAGGTTAGAAAATTTAACCGCAGTTTAGAAAGATACAACTGACCTTGTTTTGTTTCTATACTAGGTGTTTCTAACATGGGGGAGTCTAAAAAAACTTCTTTAAAGAGATGCTATGTTTGGTCTCCTGTACTTTCAAGAGCGTCTCTTTGAAATCATTAGTGAAATATGCAGAGTTCTAGTATTTATAATTTGCCATGGAACCAATGTGACACAATCTCAAGTGGGTGGTTGTATCCACAATTACTAAGTGTGAGAGCAGTTTTAGTCCTAATTCTGAGTTATTTTCAGTATTCATACATTTCTGAACATTTATTTATTTCCTTTATTCTAGCAGCTGTTAAGGATATTGTTGTGTTAACAACCAGCAGAGCATAGAGTACATGGAAATGGTGCTGAGAGCAACAATGAATAAAATACATATAAATTGGTTTATCAAAGTTTTTACTTTGTAGTGAAAAACAATCTCATAGTCTTTAATTAATCCAAGTCTTAGCCAGTCATAATCAGTCCAGAGATACAAAATTCTTCTTACCAGTTTGTAGTAAAAGGATCAAACAGGAACAATATAAATAGTTCTTAAAAAAAGAATAAATAAACCATGACCACATTAGACCATGTAAAAGATCAAGTAGAAAATACAAAACAGCAGTAGGTAATAAATAGTAGCAAGTTCACGCTGATAACAGGTCACGATGGTGGCATGTCCACAATGACTACATTCAAGCTCTCCTTAAATACAGTTACTACAGAGCTTATCCAATCAGGATACAATGACTCAGCATTACAATGACTCAGCAGTACTTCTTAAAGTCATAGAATACATATTCATCATGTTAGCTTATATATTGCCTGGACAAGGCATGCACCATATCCTAACAGCAGTTATGATTTATAAAGATATGTATGGAGTGGGTTTCTTTATCTTAGTTTAAATCTATTGTACTGTACATAAAAATGTATTTTTATATTAAAAACATTCTTGGCAAAGAATCGTTCTCCTATCACTCTGACATCTCGTATTATACTTCTAGTGTACTTAACAATTCCATATTCTACAATTATAGCATGATATTCATGTCCTCAGGTGTAAAATATGTCTGTCACATTTTTCAGTGCAGTTGTAACTGCGAATGGTCACTAAACAAACTGTTGGAACTTGACAGTTATCTGCATTTTCTTTTTCTGAACAAAAATACATGCCATTTTATATGTGAACTTAGCACAAAATAACACATAGAAATTTATAGTTCTTCGGGAAATTGTGTGTCCTTAAAACAGCTTTTCTTTATTATTTTCTTTACTGTAATGTTTTAGGAACATTACAGTTTGCTGTAATCTGTTATGAAAAGCTATTTATAATATAGAAAGAGATTATTTTTGTTTCTTCTATTACTGTTTTGTTTTGTCTTGTTATCACCAGGTTAAGTTTTGATGAGGGAAGATCTTGGAGCAAGTACAGTTTCACCTCCATTCCGCTGTTTGTTGATGGGGTTTTGGGAGAACCTGGAGAAGAGACTTTAATAATGACGTGAGTAGACATTATTTATTTTTATAAATAAATACACATATTCACACCAGCCATTTCATGGGTTTCATTCTGCTCTGGGTTCTCCAGTCCCCCTGGCATTATTAAAAAGGTAATATCTCACATGAAATAACACCAATAGGATCCATTCTATTATTATTAAATATAGAAAATATAATATAAATAGAATATGGAGTATTTCACTGATTACTTCAATATAATTCTAGTGGACTATTTAGTGCAGGGGTGGGCCAATGTGGCCCTTTTACAACCTGTGGACTTCAACTCCCAGAACTCCTGAGACAGCCAAGCTGTCTCAGGAATTCTGGGAGTTGAAGTCTACAGGTTGTAAAAGGGCCACATTGGCCTACCCCTGATTTAGTGGGTTTTTGCAGATCCTCAAAATGGCAGGGATTTTTTTGGTGGAGATTCAAGCAAAAGACACCTTTGGATATGAACAGTGTCATGGTTCCAAGAAACATCTTGTTTTGGACAAACAGCCAAAGGAGGAAAGGGGTGCCTTTCTTCTAATCAGTAAAGCACATGAGATGTACTTCACTGCTTTACTGTGTATTGATGAGTGCATGCACATAAGTCCAGTCTGTAAAACAAAATAGCCTATTTCAGCAATTCTCTCCTGTCTTGAACTTTAACCATATTGAAGTAGAGCAACTTGCATCGGTGAGATGAAGCACCAAACTAGATTGTGGTTGATTTACAGTACATAACATTATGCTTAATTTTTCATCAAGTACTAAGTAGCGGAATGTTTATCTGTTAATTCCTGTTAATAAATAGCTGTTTGCATGGGTATGTGTGGGAGGGTGTTTATGTGTAATGTTGAAAGAAAAGCTACACTGCATTGATTATTGCTATATATTTAATATTTCATTACTGAAATTTTAATTTGTTCAACTCATGGAGCCAGTTCCAAAAGAATAATGTACATCAGGGTGTACATCACCATATACATCAGGGGTGTCAAACTCGATTTCATTGAGGGCCACATCAGAGTTGTGTTTGACCTCAGAGGGCCAGGGTTGGTGGTGGCCGGGGGCCCATGTGGTCATGGTGCGTGTGGCTGTGGCCATGGTAGCCATTTGACACAGGCTCAAGATGCATATTTCCCCTTCTTTCTTTCCACAATTCTTTATTATAACCACATTCCTATCTCGTCTACCAGATATTACTGGCAAACATTTATTACTTATTCTTCATACTCCACTAAACTTTTTATTTCTAAATTTATACCCCATTGTTTAATAGTAAATTGCTTTTCCAGGCACTCCAGCCAAGCTATTTATACTATTGTATTTTTGTTATTCAATTAACAATAAAAATACAATAGCATAAATAACATGATAATACAAGATCTAACAGCAGAGGTAAATTTCCAGAATAGTAAGTAGAAATGGCTATCAATTATAGATTGTTGATTGTAGATTAAATGGACCTATGGGGTCTCACTGAGTCTCTGCACAGCCTGTTACTTGGTCAGCAGAGTGCTGCCAGAGGCCGGGGAAATGGGCCATGTTGGGGGGGGGCTCCATGTGGGCCTCCCGCAGCCCGGTTTGGCCAGCAGAGGCACTGAGAGCTGGTCCTTGATATTCCCAGGCCACATTTAAGTACCCTGCAAACTGGATCTGGCCCGCGGGCCTTGAGTTTGATACCCCTGAACTACATCAATAATACTGGGAATCAGCAATTTATAAATAAATAAATGAAAAAATAAATAAATAATATTTGTATTTTGATTTCCTTTCTTCCTTCCTTCCCATAAATTCCACTCTCTATATACTAGCCACCTATGTTCATAATTAAACCTGTAATTTACAATATCATTTGAAAGCTGTTATTATAATTTGAATGTATCACTAAAGAGAGATTAGAAGTTTGTTTATGATTTAGGCCACAATCCTGTATACGCCAGATAAGCCCCCTTTTTATTATTATGGGCCATAACTTGTAAGGCGATATGTATAGAATTATATTCATTTCATTTTGCAGATCTATAATCTATATATAAAATAATTGTCTCCTACTATTATAATCATTCAATGTTTTATTCAGCGTTTTTGGACACTTCAGCCATCGTTCTGAGTGGCAGTTGGTAAAAGTGGATTACAAGTCCATTTTTGATAGACGGTGTGCGGAAGATGATTACCGACCTTGGCAGCTTCACAGCCAGGTAAAAAGTCTGACCTAGAATTGAATTAAAATTAATATAATAATTAATTAAAAGTTGGGATCAACCTAATTTATTGCTTCAAAATCATTGAATCCATTACCTCTTAACACTTTGGTATACATTCTAACTGCAACTAGTAAGCATTTATGGTAAAAAGTAAAACTTGAAACAAATTGGAGAAGAAAATGGCTTCACACTTCATTGTTTTGAACTGAATGTGAATTTCTCCCCACCTATTTTAAAAGACAAGGAGGTACAGAAATAGAAACAGGGCTGGTCTCAAGGGCAGACAAAAAAAGCTCTTTCTGCCGTGTTCAGTTTAGTTTCTGGATAGAAAACAATATCTTCCTCTCTTTAAAATGTACAGTCTTAGAATACTTCACTTTAAAAAAATGTGTCCAATGTCCTAGTTTCTCTGTGTCACTTGCCATCCTTGCCAGTCAAAATAACCTTCAATTCCAAAAGAATTTAATCTAATCAACTGTTACACTAGGTAAAGGTAAAGGTTTCCCTCGCACATATGTGCTAGTCATTCCCGACTCTAGGGGGCAGTGTTCATCTCCGTTTCAAAGCCGAAGAGCCAGCGCTGTCTGAAGACATCTCCGCGGTCATGTGGCATGACTAAATGCCAAAGGCACACAGAACGCTGTTACCTTCCCACCAAAGATGGTCCCTATTTTTCTACTTGCAGTTTTTACGTGCTTTCGAATTGCTAGGTTGGCAGAAGCTAGGACAAGTAACTGGAGCTCACCCCATTATTTGGCACTAGGGATTCGAACCACCAAACTGCTGACCTCTCAATCGACAAGCTCAGCGTCTTAGCTACTGAGCCGCTGCGTCCCTTCAACTGTTACACTAGATACTAGTTAATGGCACTAAGTAAGAATCCGTTCAATGTTAATTTGACCGTTGCCAGAGTCTTAATCCTCCTTGTTTGGGGATTTAGCTGGTTATTTTCTCTAGTTCAGCTGGCTGAGACAGGGAACGTTCATAGGCCCTGCAATGAGGCTGCTACTGAACATCCAAAAAAAAAAAAAAATCTGTGTTATGAACAGAACTATTTGAAACTACCTAATTACTACAACCATCCAATGCAAAAGGATATGAAAAGGAAGCTATTCTCATCCTTGAAAGCCTAATCACATCTAGGTGTCATAAATTTACAAGAGTATAGGATTCCTATCAACACACTTTGTTTTGCTTTTTTTAAGTCGGCCTCAATCTTATAAGAGATGGCTGGGAGCTTTATAACCAGGTGAGGACAAGTAGTTTGGATAGCATATTGAGCTTAGAGCTTGAAGTCAGGATGGGGCTCATTTATGACTGTTTGACATTAGAAAGCTGCCGGCCATCTCTTGAAAAATTGAGTCTGCCTTTAAAAAAAAAAAAAGTTGCTTACTTTTTATTTAATAGAATTTTGGTCAAATTACTAAAACCTGGTTTCTCTATTGTATGTGCTGTGTTTTATTCCAAGGGGTCTCATTCCAGATAGGTGGAAGTTTGTTTGTTTGTTTTTTAATCTGATATAGAATGGGAAAGGAATAAATCCAGGCTCATACATACATACATACATACGTACGTACATACATACATACATACATACATACATACATACATATATATATATATATATATATATATATATATATATATACTATATATGTATAGCCATACATATGTAGTAGGTAGTCCTTGACTTGCAACCATTCATTTATCAACCCTTTGAAGTTATAATTGCACTGTAACTTACAGTGGATCCTTGCACTTGCAACCACTGCAGTGTCTGCACAGTCACACAATTCAAAATTTGGCAATTGGCATGTATTTATGAGGGCTGCAGCATTCTGAGGTCACATGATCAACATTTGCAACCTCACCAGCTGCTTCCAATAACCAAAGTCAATGGAGAAAGCCATCATTCACTTAACAACTGTGTGATTCATTTAACAACTGCAGTGATTATCATCGCTGAGGCAAAAAAGAAGGTTGCAAAATTGGGCCCAATTCACTTAACAACCACTTTGATTAACAATGAAATTCTAATCCCAATTGTGATCGTAGGTTGAGGATTATCTGCACACACACATTTCTTTGCCATGATAGCCCTACCATCGTGGTCTTTGTGCCACTGAATATGTGGCAACTTTGTTCTCACAGTAGAAAAATATGAACGGGCCCCACTGTTTCTTTTTGCATTAGTATACCATAATTTGATACCTGATCACTGTGATAAAAGCCCCCTCCCCTCTTTTCTTTACTCAGGGAGAAGCATGCATCATGGGAGCCAAAAGGACTTACAAGAAGCGTAAGTCAGAAAAGAAATGCATGCAAGGCAAGTACGCCGGAGCCATGTCCTCTGAGCCATGTGTCTGCACAGAAGCAGACTTTGACTGGTGAGTTGTGCTTAATAACAGAGAATGAACAAGGTCACAGTTTATATGGATTTTGCTATAGGTGTGCATGTAACCTGACTTTCTCCCAGGGACAAAAAATCCTAGAGATTGAAGGGAATTGCCTTTCTAAATTAATGTGGCACCACCTCAGCACATGCTCCTACATTAGTAAAGTTACAGAACATCTTATATATATATATATAGTTCATAAATGGTGACATCAAGATACAGGATTTCATGATCTGAATGCATGTTTTGTACTGTCTTACAAGTAAGACAGTAGTAGGCAATAACATACTATTACCAATTCATTTCTGCATTAGTGAAGAATAATGCAGAAGTAATCTTGGTGCAATGATACATGCTAATGTTCTCCAAGCACTTGAAAAAGGGCAGCATTAATGGGATATCAAGCCTTTTCATGGCTGTCCAAAAAGGTGCTGCAGGGTAATTGCAACTTAATTCAGCTAAATGCAATTATAGGCTTTGTACCCTACAGGTCTCCCATTTATACAAGCACTGTAGTCTCATTTAACATAGTTAGTTTCACTGCAGCCTTTCTTATAAATATAACTCCTTACTCTCCATGCCTCCTACATTCAGTTCCTAAATCCTGTTTGCTCTGTAATGTTTTATAATATCAGTGACAAGCTGTAAGAATAGAAACAAGCATACAGTAAGAATTGAACATACTGGAAAGCTATACTTTACACCCTAATTCTGGATTTAATAATTTATTTGTTCATTTCTTTATGCATTTGATCAATGTACATGGTTGCTCAACCCATAAACTACAAATCTGGGCAACTAACATAGAATTAAAGGCAGAAGCAAATCCACCATGGTTAAAAACAACACAAATGAAAATATAATCTAACTAATGCCAACTACAATCATTCAATTTCCAATCATTACAGAGAGCCTCATTCTAGGAAAGGCTGGGTCTCTGCAAGCTTACTGAGGCCAAAAGATCATCTGAATTTCTGGGGTTATGCTGCTCCTGAGGAAGGATCAGGAACTAAAATTCTGCTTATTAAAAATCAGAATTCAAGAAGACCAGAATGTAAGATTTCTTAGCCTATATCAACAAATATTTAATAATAAATCAGTCCAAAATTAAACAGTCTAACCCTACCCTAACAAAAACAGGAATACAAGTCAAAATAGGCAAGAAAATGGTAAGACACTACCTATCCACTCTAGACAAATTCAAATCACCAGGACTAGATGGATTACAGCCCGGAATTCTGAACGAGCTGGTGGACATGATCTGGAATCACTGAACCATATCTTTCAAACATCCTGGAGCTTCAGGGAACTACTAGAGGACGGGAAAAGAGCTGACATTATTCCCATCTCCAAAAAAGGGGGAAAATGGATCCAGGAAACTACAGACCTTCAACACTTGGAAATATCCTGAAAAAGCTAATAAAGCAACAAACCTGTGCACACCTAGAAGCAAGCAAAGTTGTTACTAGAAGTCAACATGGATTTGTCAAAAACAGATCAAACAAATCTTATTCCATTCTTTGACAGAGTGACTAAATTAGTGTAACAGTAAAATGCTGTGGACATAGTATACTTGGACTTCATTAGACATTTGACAAAGTAGAGCTACTAATCTATATTTGACTGCCAACCTACTACTTGGTAAGATAGCAAAATGTGGCTTATCATCACTAGATGAATTTGTAATTACTGAAGCACCACACTTAGCATGTCTTAATGGAACTACATCTATATGGAGTGGGCTATCCAAGTTACTGTCTTAGGCTCAACACTCTTCAACATCTTCATTAACAATTTAGATGAGGGGATAGAAGGGGAACTCCTCAAATTTGCAGATGACACTAAGCTGGGGGAAATAGCCAAGACTTCAGAAGATAAGATCAAGAGCCAGGAGGATCTTGACCAAGTTGAGCACTGGCCCTATCCAAGAAAAGCAATTCAGTGGTGAGAAAAGTGAGGTATTTAGGCAAGAAAAAACAAATGCATGGATTTAGAATAGATGGTATCTGGCTTAATAGTACTAATTGTGAGACAAATCTAGGAGTCTTAGAAGACAACCATTTACATATGAGCCAGCAGTGTGCTGCAGCTGCCAAAAATGCAGTGCCAGGCTGCATTAACAGGATAGAATCAAAATCACGTGAAATGTTAGTACCACTTTATACTGCTTTGATGAAACCACATTTAGAATGCTTAGTACAGTTTTGGTCAGCATGGTATAAAAAGATGTTAAGGCTCTAGAAAAAGAGCAACAAAGATAATTAAGGGCTTGAGGCTAAAACATATGAAGAATGTTGCAAGAACTGGGAATGTCTAGTCTAACAAAAAGAAGGACTAGGGATGATATGAATCTGTTACAAAGAGGATCAACCTATCTCCAAAGCACCTGGAAAAAATGAATAGAAAATTCTTACGAAATGATCCAACCTAAAATTAAGAAGAAATTTCTTGACAGTGAGAACAATTAATCAGTGGAAGGGTTTGCCTTCAGAAGTTGTGAGTGCTCCATCGCTGGAGCTTTTTAAGAAGAGATTGGACACCATTTGTCTAGAATGGTATAGTTTCCTTCTAGAGCACAGGGTTGAACTAGAATACTTCTAAGGTCCTTTCAAACTCTGTTATTCTGTTAATCATATTTATTTATTTTATTTACAAAGTTTATTTGCCTCCCATCATATTTCAAAGAGATTCTGGGAGCCTTACAATGTTAAAAGCATTAAAATTATAAAAGACATATTTCTAAAATGATAAACATAAAATTACAGTCAAAGATAACATTTTAGTTTAAAGATGGGGAGGATGCATGGGAGACGGAGGTGAGATTGCTTCTTAATTCAGCAAACCACCGCCAGTGTAATGCTCCCCCACTGGGGCTGCAAGTTATCTGGCAAAGCCAGTTATTTGGCCTTTATAGAAGGTCAGAAAGAGGAGAGCCGATCTCACCTCAGACAATAAGATGTTTCAAAGGGCAGGAGCCATAATGGAGAAAGAACTTTTCCTGGACCCTGCCAGTCCAAATTCCTTGACTGATAGGACTTGTAGCATGCCTCTTCTGCCAGCACAGGTGGGGCAAGCCAGTCCATTGGTGTGAGACGGTTCCTCAAATAACCTGGATTTTATGCTGGATTTTAAAGGTAATAACTAACACCGTGAATTGTATCTGGAAGCAAACCACCAGCTAGTGCAGCTTGCAAAGCAGTGGTGTAACAATGGCCACCCTAGGGCTACCAAGAACTGCCTGCTCTGCCACACTTTGCACCAGTTGAAGCTTCTGCATGTTCTTCAAGAGTAGCCCCATGTACACCTCATTGCAGTAGTCCAAAAGTGGGATAACCAGGGCTTGAATGACTGAGCACAAGGACTTCTGATTCCAGAAAGGCCACAACTGATGCACAACACAAAGCTACAAAGATTCTTCTAGCATGACTGACACCTGCTTTTTCAGCAGGAATCACAAATCCAGGAGAGCCCCAAAATCTCAATCTGGCATAGTGTAACCCCGTCTAGAACTAAGTTAGTTGAAGTCGGAGAACAAAATTGGAAATAACCCAGAACAAAGTTTTATGGCAATTCTTTTTAGCTTTTAAATAAAATTATTTTAAATTCTACTTATTTGTTTTAGTTTATTTGTTTTTTTAAAAAATCAAGAATCATGTTTGATTATCAGACCAAAAGAAAACCTGATATTGCACCTACAAGTTTGAATTATTTTCAGATTTGTCACAAATTCTGGAGAAAAGTGTGCACATTTCCTGTGACAGCAGAATAAGTAAGCCCTGAACTGTGCTTGAAAGAATTGTATATTAAAGGATAGGAAAGAAAGAAAATCAATGCAGTTATTTTATTTGTATGCATTGCCCACTTTTCACAGCCAGAGGGCAATAGTGTTTCAGGAATGAATGTCACAATGGAAATGGTGCACTTAGTCCCAGGAATAATATTTCCTAGCAACTGCCTAGAAACCAATCCGTATTTATTTAAGTAATAAATGGATTACACAGTGACATATGTGTTATTAAGGCATTTCTTTGCCAGATTTTCATGGGCTTTATTCCAGCATGAATGGGATCATTCCAGCAACAGATCAAGTATTTGGGTTTTTTTTTTTTTGTTTTTTTTTTAAAAGATAAATCTAGATTACAATGCTAATACATCATCATCATCATTCTTGTTGTAATTATTCTGTGTGAATTTTATTTTCCATAATGTAGTCACTTTTAATCCAATTTTCCTGACATCCATTTCTGAAGCATTTTTTCATCAGATAACTGCATTACAGAGTTTGGAGAAGTGCTAAATAAATGGATAATTATGATCCAGAGGACACAGTAACTCTGTGGGTACAAATTAGGTTGGTTTACATTAAAACACAACTTGAACATATTTCTCCCCATCTCTAGCCATACTGCATCAGTGTTCTTTGACAAGAAAGAAAGTTTCATTTCTAATTTAATAATTAGGTAAAATAATAGGATGCATGATCCTAACAAATTTCATTAAGACCAAAGTCCCAGTAATTCCAGAAGGAAGAGAGAAAAAACAGATGTTATCTACAACATACAGTGTAAGGACTGTATCAGCCACTATGCAGGACAGATAGGTAGAGAATTAGCAGAGCCCATCCATGAACAACAACTAGCAGCCAGAATACACAGTGAAGACTCCTTCATCTCTCAGCAAATGGCATATTCAGTCACAATTTCAGATGGGAAACTGGACATTCTACACCAAGGCAAATCCAAAATGCCAAGGAATTCCTGGAAGCTTGGCATTCAGGCAAATTACAGTAGTCATCTTTAGACGCATGGAAACAAACAATATTTACACACTATCTAGAAGAGACAATAAAAAACTAAGAAGGAAACAAAAAAGCCAAAGTACATCCTTTTCAGTATAAACACACAGATAAACTGGGATTATATTAGATGGATAAAGAATCAAGCAGAAAACGATACCTTAATCAAGGAACTACCAAGCAGAAAACCATATCC